AAGAGTGAAAGTATCGATCATTGTCAGCCTGGACAATTCTGGGTTGTAATAAGAACAGATTTTCTAGGTTTGTTATTTTTAAAGCTGCTCATAATTTTACTGCTAAAATCTGATCTAAGTGGTCCTGGAAAGTAATAATTTTTAAATTAACTTCCAATAAAAATACAAATTTTATACTTGATGCTATGTGCTACCCAGACCTTGAAGCATAACTTGCATGTGAATCAGTTTATAAACAAAACTGAGTGTTTTAATTGCTCTAATGAGGTGGATGAAGCAGAAAAGGAAAATGGACCCACTTCAGTAAAAGACAATCAATTGGTCAGAGTATAAAATTTTATGGGATATACAGGCTTTAGGGAATTTACTTGCAAATACTGAAGTGTTATGACTGATATTAAAAAAAATATGTCCCATTCCAGTGTGAGCATTTCAGTAGGTAGTCTAGGTTAGAACTCAGTTTGATGTTTAGTTTTAATTACAGAATTCGTGGCTGTGCTGCAAGAAAATCCAGGGAGTTCGTGTTGCTCGGTGTTATTCCTTTCTCTGTAAAGCTGCAACCCTCACTGAAATCAGCAGAAGTTCCCCACTGCTATCGGTGGAAGCTGAAGCAAGGCCCTGTATAACCTCAAACAGTTAATATTATAACGGGCTCCAAAACAGACATTCAAGGAAATGCTTTAAGCCTTTTTAAAAAATTTTTCCCCCCTTACTTTTCATGTAGGAAGACTGGCACAGTTACAGCAGTGAGATGTGCTGCTTTGGTGGCTTTGGCTGTAGGTTCTGTGTTTTCTGCAGGTCTCGTCTGTTCTGCAGTGCTCTGGGCTCGTCGGAAACTTGTGGGGATGTGCTTGAGGAGGAGGCTCAACCTGCCCTGCAGAGACACTGGTTTAAGTGGATGGGTTTTGAAACCCCTTGTATGGGTTTTGGGGCAATGCTGACTCAACCGCTATCGACACCAGACTGCCCAAGTATCATAAATAAGTTAAAGCGAAGAGGTTATTTTTTTTTATTGGCAATTTTCTGACCATGCTTTACTTCAGTTCTTCAGGCTCTGAAACAGGTGTCATAGTCTCGATTTTGCCTATGAAAGGGGCCTTAAGAAAATGAATAAGCATTTATAAACTCTCTCTGATCTTTATTGTAACATTGCTGTAAAAATGCAATATATCATGACTGCATAGAGATGTTAAATTTTCCTCTTTGTCCCATTTATTTTCAGAACATGCTTGAAGAACTATTAATTCATAAGCCAGATGATCCCATTCAGTATATGATAAACCATTTAAAGCAAAACAACGATGACGGTAAGTTCAAATTGAGACACTATAAATAGTTCAATTCCTTCTTTTTAAACAGCTGTGCTTTAGTTGGCAGATGATGGATAAAACTTTTCAGACTGTGTCTTGAGGGGGGGAAAAAAAAAAAAAGAAAGGTGAGCATTTTGGAATAGTTATAGGTAAGATGCTTTTAATTTCTCTTTTTAGTGGGTAATCTAATAAAAAATGCACTTTAACAGTTATAACAATGAAACCCTCTAAGGGAATAACAAAGAGTTCTAGTGTATCAATTATTAATGCGTTCTGTGCCCCATCTGATATTTCCTGTTGTCTTTAAGCTCGCTAATTACTCCTTTTGTCAGGTGTAAATTTGGTTTCCTATTCTACCTGGGCTGGCAGATTCTCTGGTTTTTTTGATTAGTTTAGTTACTAGCTGCTGTTAATGAGTTCCACTGCTCAGTGGCATCTCAGATGAAGGAACAGTGAGCATGCCTACTTGTATGTGTAACAAAACCTGGGAAATCGAATGGGAAGTCTCTATTCTGCACAATAAAAGCATGTACACTCAATCAAATTATTTGATTTACAAACTGTTCACCCTTAGGCAGATTATATTTGGATATGCACAACTGAACTATAATTTTTGTTCTGCATGAGCTGTCAGGGATAGCTGGTGTCATGTTGCTTTGATGTTTCTTTAAAACCATAGTAAACCATTATGAAAGTTCTGCTGCAGCATCAATGAAATCATTATCACTAGAGGTGCTGTGAGCGCTTAGTGGCGGTGATCAGATGGATGTTGATTGAAATGCTGCTAAATAGAGAAAAAAAAAAACAAATCCTGCAAATTGTGTCCAGCCTTTTCTGATGTGGGCAGCATGAATAATCAATCTGTTTTATAGACCGGTGGAAAATATGTGGAAGAATTTCATGTGGTTTGATAGAATGCTGATAAAATTTCTTCACATTGAGCTAACGTTTGTCCTTAAGCCCCCCAGTATTATCTGAACGGAACTAGGCAGGTGTCCATTTCATTACTTCAGTGCTTAGAGGCTAAAGATAGAACTACAGCCGTTGTTTGTCAAAAGAAAAATCCTGTCTGCTTTTGGTCTGGAAAAACCTATTAAGAAAGTCAAGGAACTCCAATTAAAATTAAAGCCTAAATGTTGTTTTAAGAATAAATTATATGGAAAAAAATGGAACAGAAATCTGTAGCGGGGTTGATTTTACTTTTTGATCATGGCGGGAGATGCTGACTATTTAGAAGGAAAAAAAAAACCTTATTAGAGCCATCAGTAACATGATGAATTTTCATGATCTTGCCTTGCTAGACAGTTTTACCCTAAAGAAAATTTCAGAAATGTGTAGAAAAGAAGCATTGCATCTATCCCAGGTGTGAAGTTAGAAAACCTTTTTAATTAATATAGGATCTAAAGTATTCTTAAAAATATAAACAAAGCTAATTATGATTATAGCTTACAACTGTCTTGAAAATATCGTAGGTCAAATGTGTGGCTGAGTGTTTATGCCTAAGGCTCTGTGCTATTGTTCTTTCATGTGCACCTTCTAAAAACCTTAAAGACCCGTGTGAAGGCTGATCATTCTTTCATATACAACAATGCTGATTTTCTCATTTTGTCTTGGTTTGTGCTAATAAAAAAAGCTTCCAGGATCCAGGTGGCATTTCTGGGAGTTCTTCCTTTACAGCCAAACCTCTGAAAAAATGTAAAAAAGTTCTGCAAGAGTGTTCCTTGTGTACTATGTGCTTTTCCTCTTTGTCAAAGGATTGCTCTCACAAGTTAAGCGAGTGTTGTGTTAATATTAATCATGGAATCTTTTGGACTGAAATGGAACTCAGTGAGTCCAGCTGTTCTTTTGTGTTATTCCAGAATGAATTTTGTTATTACTAAAATTATTGTTGAATGTTAAAACTTCTTTTACTTGGAAGAGTAAATCCTGTAACATCTCATCAAGACTAAACATGGGATGAAATAGGATTTGTTACTGAAGAAAAAGGCATTTCCTCGATTTTCCCTGACTTCATTTAGCTGCTGGTTCCGACCCCCAGTATTAAATACTGACTATTTGCTGATGGGAGGGGGTTAAACATTACACACAGTGCTGTCCTGGTTGTGCCCTTGTGTCATATGTTTAGGGAGAATGCTTTAGAGGAGTCTTACAAGTGTGCAAATGAGTAAATCAGTGAATTACGCTGCCCCATCTGCTGCCAGCCACTAAGCAGAGAGAAAACCAGATTTAGTACAAAGTGAGCATTTACAGTAGCCCTGGGCAATATTAAAGCATGATATGGTGTATATAATGGTATGTTTCGTTTTTTATCAAACGTTTGTCCAAGAAAGCTGTGTATTAAAGCTTCAATACCTAAGGGTTTTCTTGTGAATTTTAAATCATGCTCCTAGTTAAACCTCAAAAGGATCTGTGGATGGAAAGGTTTTTTGATTTTCTTTGAAGTGGTTTGAAGAAGTTGATTAGTGTTGGCACCCGAGCACTCTTTTATGACGCTGTTTATAAATAATTCCTAAGTACCGGGCTGGAGTTTCAAGGTGTTAGATTAAAAAAAAAAACCCTAGGATTTAATCACATTACATTTGAAAGAAATTAGGTGATAAAAACAGCTGATGTATCCTTTTAAAGTATTTTTCTACATTGTGTACTAGTTCTGTTGCACTTGCAAGAACCAATAAGGGGGAAGTTTTTCTTAAACCTTCCAAGTCAGATAACTTTGTAAAGATGAATCTGTAATTTGAATTTCATTTATGTTTAAAAATTGCACCTGCCCAATAACTGTTCAGTGCATGGAAGACCTCATAAAAATACATTTCACATCCTTCCCTGTCTGCTGCCATCGCACACGGGATCTCCCTTGGTTATCAAGAGCTGAAGAGGTTTTTGAGTAGATCCCTCCTGTTTCTCCCAGTAAATACTCATCAATCCTTTCTGTGTATGGTTTGGTTTGGTTTTTTTTCCCTGAGGTATAGGGGAAAAAACATCAAAGATGTTAATACTGCAGCCCGAGGTGTGTCCATGGAAGAAGTCCCAGATACTTTCCTCAGAGTTATTCCATTTTCCCTTGTTTGGCTTGCCTCTAATTCATTCCCAACGAAGCTTACGGCAGTAATGCCGACTGTGTTGTCTGTGCGCGTTAGATTAAGAATTCCTTAGAACTGGGATGCATTTTTCCCACCTTGCCCCCTGAGGGAAAGGAGAGGGACATGCAGTAGTGAAACACGAGAGATGAAGAAAGTTACTATTAGTGATGATTAGAAAAATAGAACGTAGCTGTCAAAAACGCTAGAGTGTGCTTAATTTTGCAGTATCTATATTTTGCTGTTCTGCACATCAACATTCATATATTCTTGTTTCATAGCTCCAAGAATTTGTGTGCTTGGTCCACCTGCTTCTGGGAAAACTACAGTGGTAAGTACGCTGCCTTCAATCATGTCCATCTACTGACATCAGCGCTTGTGAAAATTTTATTGTGAAAAAATAATTTTCAGAATTGTCCAAGTGGTAGAAGAGCACAAAAGTTGAAAGGTGGCATTCCGAAGGTTAACACTACAGGTTAAACGGAAATAAATGTTCGAGCTGACGCTGCTGTAATGCCCCAGAACTCTGCCTGCCTTTTTTTGCCAGCTTTTTGGCAGGACTAATTAACCTGGGAGGAGTACCACAGTTACACATTCGTGGTGTTCCCGTACTGTGAGTTCCTTCCTTTGCACGGCCTGTTGTTGTCTCTCATGTCCACTGGTGCTGCTTAATTGAAAATATCAAGAGTTGTATTTGAACCTCGGAGAAAGCTGACCACGGAAACTTTGTAGGTGATGGTGTGGGCATGCAGGGAAGACTGCTTTCTTTAAAACCTGTGTTATAGTACAGTAGATGAAAAAGACCTTCAAAGCTGTAGACTCTTGAACATCTTTATAAGAAACGGCTTGGAGCTACACATACAGTCCATATACTTAAATAGAAGGCAAGGAAAACATTCTCTGTCTTTCTGCAGCCTGCTGAAAAAATGCTTCGTTTTCTTTCCAAATACTTTGACCTGTATTTTTTTTTTCTTCTTCCCTCAGGCAATGTGGCTTTGTAAACATTTGGATGCCATACATATCTCTCAGGAGACTTTGTTATTCAAGGAAATATTAGCGCTGACAAACGAAGCAAAGGCATATAAAGAAAAAAACCAGGTGTGTAAGAGTTTATAATACTAGTTCTCATGTCACAGAAGAGGAGTTACATGGCATTCCCGGGACTTCCACTGCTATGAGCCGAGCAGATCAAATAGTCTCACGTCTATGGTGGGATGTACATTGGGTTGTGTGTGTAGGTACAGGGTCTTTCAGAGAAGAACGGTAGCCTCTGCTAGATGAGAAGATATGAAGGGAGATAAAAATGTGCCAGGACACAGCACAGGGGCAGGAGAGGCGGTCAGTGTAGAGTAGCGGAGGTCTTGAAAACGTGAACCTCAGATATGAGCAACAGAATTGAGAGAAGTCCAGGTATGCACAAGACAACTGAAAGCCTGGTTCATTATATCATTAACAAAGCATCTTCTGTTTCAGTACGTTTGATAATCTCACTAAAATAAGCATTAATCTCCGAGGTCTCCTTCGGTACAAAATGCTCTGGAAAATATGTACACAAAGAACTTTTTTTGATCTGACAGAGCTACTTAGTTGTGCCTGCTTGATTTCTCTGTAGCATGACACAAATAACGTCCTTGGTGCATTAACTCAAAAGGATCAACTGACAATCCAGTCAGTTGTTGAAAACCCTGGAAGCTCTCAGGCTGAGGCAATAGCAGCCAACTCAGGAGATCGTTCAGTCCTTGGGCTGATGCGCTCTGCCCAGCTCTGAGTGCCCAATTTGCTCCAGACAGGTTTTTAAATCCACTCGTGCTTCACTGCGGGTCTCCTAACCACTGTTCAAAGGAGTTCGTCCAAAGAACATTTTTTCCATATGTCATGACTCACAGGATTACTTGATCAGCAACGTAATTGTCTTATTATCGAACACTAGTGACAGGTAGACGGGAAAAATATGTTGAAAGAATATTCTGAGTACACAGAAGGATCTGCCCTTTCAGCTGGTTCCTTTCTCCAGATGTCACAGTGTTCCATGAGCTATACCATGGAAGAAGTCTGGTTTTCTGTGACTCTGTCTAGCAAGTCCACTAGTTTGAGTTTCTCTTTTCTCCATTGTCACCTGTTTTCATAAAAATTGAAGCGATTTCTATCTGTGCAGATTTTACACTCCTGCTAAATTTGATTGAAATTGGCCAACGGATTCATAATTTGTTTTAGTGGCAGATGATGTGATACAGAGATTATTTTTTTCCTTAGAAAATTGGGCTGAAAATAGGGTAGTGTTTATTACACTGAATTAGTGAATGAAGTTTGGAGATGCCTCGAGTAATATACTTAAAGATCTGAGAAGCAGGAGTTCACTGAACTCACTGAACTTACTGGCAAAAAGGTTTGGATGATATAAAATGATTCTTATGAAGAATATGTGCTTTGAAATCTTCATTCTAATTATTAAAGATTATTTTGCTAGATTCATAAATTTCAACTTATAGGGTGAGAGTTTGAAACAAAAATTCCCTTTGGTTTAATTACTGTAATTATTAACATATTTCAGACTATACAGATGCGCTTTCAAGGGTGTCCTTTTGGGCTTCTTTGATTTAAAAAGATGGATGGTGTGGGAGATGAAAGTCAGAAGTGTCAAGGCTAATCAGGTAGGAAGGAGTGCCCGGAGAGCAGAATCTGGTGGTGGTTTAGTGCTGTGCGGTTTGCCTTGGGTTTTGAGATGTTAGATCCTAGAAGAATGTTTTCGCTAAATCATTTCTTTTGTTCTTATTTATATGAGTTTGATTCTTCAAATGTGACTCTTAAAACGAGGAGGGAACTCCTTGCTTCTCTAAATCAATGCAAGCTTTCCAGTGACTTAACATGGAGCCAAAGTGTCGTCTCAAGAGCTGTCCTTTCCCTTCCTGATTCATGTCTGCTGGCTGAGTCTACTTCTGCTGTAACTGACCCCTGGTTCTGCTGCAGCAAGTGGTAAACTTGACTCCTCTAGCACCAGTAACATCCATGAGCACTAACAGGGTTTGAATGTCTCTACAGGAACAGAACAAGAGCTATTTGTACTGTCCTCGATTCAACCAGGACATTCAAAAGTTGCAGCCCCGGGCAAAGCAATTTAATAAATGGAAGGAGGAAAAGCAGGAACTAAGACAGTGTTTTTGAAAGTCTGGTGTGAAGATCATATAACACAATTTAATGTTGTCAGAGGAACGTTTCCGATGTACAGGGTTACTGGGGCTAAATTAACCCCAGTGCCAAAGGTCCTTCATTTTTGGGTCAGTAGGCCAATGCTACGAGATCTGGGAAAATGCTGCAGAAAGGTCCGCAAATGTTTGTTCACATATTTTACTTATCTTTAGCCAAGCTTTCATCTCTTTTGTGCTCACATCCAGTGAACATTAAAGCACTTGGGTTTTCCTGGCACAAGAATTCATGGAAGGCGTATTTAAAATAAGTGATTATTCTCTGAAGCTCAATTTTTAAAGTTGGACATGCAATCATTCACTAACAGACACCTGGCCACTTACTAATGAGCACAGCTCAGGTAGTGAATTTTAAATATTGACTGTTCAAAGCAAAATGTGATCATTCTGCATGTAAAAATATTCCAAAAAGAAGTCAAATATTTTTGAATATTCAATAAATTTGAAGAACCACGAGCTATCAATAAATATTCCATGAACAGAAAAAGAGGCTACATTTTTGGATAAATCATTGCAAATTATTCCCTCATCTGTAGATGTTATAATGTTAATAAGAAGCACCTTCAGGTTTTTCCTATAGTGAAGTCTAATGATGAGCTATCTCATGTCTCACTTTTCCTGTTAACTGGATAAAATAAGAAGTTGAAACAACTGTGGTAATTGTGGCTTTATGGGATGGGTAGGCTCCTAACTGTTAACTGGATAAAATAAGAAGTTGAAACCACTGTAGTAATTGTGGCTTTATGGGATGGGTACACTCCTAATGCTGTACTAAACTGCAGTTAAGGTGTTTGCGTGCTACGTAGTGACTTAAAACTGCTCTACAGTTGCATCATATCCCTGTGCTTTTTAAGAAGAAATATAACAGAAGAGAGGAAAGCCCAAGGCATCCCTATCTCTGCTTGTTCAGCATTCTAACCTGTTCCAGGACACACCACTATAAAGGAATAAATAGGAACTCTTCCAGTCTTGTGTGTAGATAAAAAAGACCAGCCTTTCATGGGTATTTATCTGAATTTATACATTCCTGATTTTCAAAATACCAAACCCAATTTCTGCAAACTTGACTGCTTTTCTCTCCAAGGTGCAAACTTGGAGAAGTTGGAAGTTTTTGGCTGTAGCTGTTTTCAGAACAAAGATATCCAAAAGTTCTGATAAAATTGTCTAGTGAAAGTGCTCCCCTCCCCTGCACAAAGTGTAGCAGTTTGTAAAAAGATCATTCAAAGATAACACCGAGTAGATCAGGCATGTAGGTTGAAGTATGACATCGCTGAAATAACATGGAATGTTTAAAATTAATCATTAATGAGTCCAGATTTTCAGCACTGTGGAAATAGTGATTATACCGGTGTGTACAGAAAGTGGTCAGAACATGAACAAGTTCCATAGCAGCAGGTCTTTCCGTCAACTGGACTGGATGTGGGGACAGGCTCAGAGTGCCCCAGTTTGGGTACTCTTTCCGTCAACTGGACTGGATGTGGGGATGGGTTCAGCGTGCCCCAGTTCAGGTATGGTTCTGCCGTTACCGAATGTGTGTGTCTCCGTGTCTGTTATTGCAGTGACTGGGAGGTGCAGTCCCATCTACCGGGCTCGTGATATATTGATGTGAGTGTTTACGGGGGAGAATTTGTCAATGTGCTATCTGATAGGGATCAGATTGAATGATTTCTAGTTGAATCATTAGGTGTTTTACAAGCAAAATGATTTTGTAGGCCACTGCTCAGTAGGAGGAAAACTGACGAGGAAATGAGACTGGAATTGAGCCACAGAGAGCAGCAGGAACTAAAACACTGAAATACCCACGTGTTTGTGTCCTCGATTGGCTTTTGTGCAATAAACCCCGCTCAAAAGAGAGGACTAAGAATACCACTGCACTGGAAGAGGTTGGTAACATTTTGGTTTAAATTGGTTTGGCAAGGCTTAGCAGAGTGGACCCCCGGCAGTCGCTAGCCCGCCTTGACGTGACACATCAAAGAAGCAAGCGAGACGCCGGCTGTTTCTGATAGCAGCGTGGTGCACCTTTGGAAGGTGACAGCCTCAAAAGCCACTCACCCAGGCTCCGGCAGCAAGAGGCTGCGGGAGGCTTTGACGCACCACCCTATGGGACCTGCTGGCTTTCAAGAAACGCAGCGATTCCTTTCCCTTTCTCTCTTTTACCTGCTTGGATGTTGCCTTATGAACGGCTGATGTTAGGAAAGGCACTGAGAACGAAGGACAGCAGAGAGAAACCAAACAAGAAAACCCACTGCCTGCCCGGGCCACCTTGTCTGTTCCACGGCCAGCTGGGGACTGGACTCTTTGGGGTATTCTGGAGCGCTCGCTCCACTCTAAAGTGATTTGTGTGGTTGTGTTTCCACCACTCCTGGTGAAATTGTTTCACTGTCTAATGAAGAAGATTGTTATGAAATCTTTCCACATAGGCAGCCACATTTTCATTGTATCTATCGGCATCCTTTAGTGTAACAGAAGCCTACAGAAATACTCTTTTTTTAGGATTATGCCCTTCAGTCTGGCTAGAAAATGAGATGGGAATATATGGAACTGTGTGGAACAAAGAGTCAAGCTCACATTGTTAAGTGAAAGATAATTGTTGTTTTTACTTGGATAGTAGAGAATCTAACTGCAGAATTTTTTCTGAGTAGTCATTTTACTAATAATGACAAAATGAATGAAACTGAGACAAGTCAAATGATTCATAGCTGGTCTAACTGGTATGGCCAAAGGTCTCGACTTTACCAAGTGAAACTGGCCAACACAGGGTTTGTTTAACCAAGCTCACCAGAGAATGAAGGCTTGAATTAACAAGATATTGAGGAAAGTTCTTACAAGATGGAAAGAAGGGTATTGTTAATTTCTTGTCAGGAAATCTAATATAATAATGGAGGAAATATTGTAGAAGGAGGAGATGCTAAATCTGTATAGGAACTTTGTTCTTCTGTCTGATGGCAAATACTGTCTTACAAAACATCAGTAGATACGGGCAAAGTACTAGTCACAGAAAGAAACAGCACTTCAGGAAATCTTGGCACATGCAGTTTCAGTCCTGTTTCACAGCTGGGAGTTTAAAAATAAACTAACTTTAACGTTAAAATAAACTTTAAATTGTATTTTAAATAAACTTTCTGGATGATGAAAGATGTTTGAGGTTCAGCTGGTCTCACGTGATGGCTGTGAAGATCGCTAAGGCTGAGTCTGTACTGGGTCAGATACTGGTGGCAGAAGGACCACCTGTGAATGGGATGCTCTTACGGATCCCTTTGCAGGTTTGATGTCCCATGGGTGTGTTGGTGTGCAAAACTTGGCACTGCTTCCACGTGTGTGTGCAAAAAGCGTGGATGTCGGCTTTGTGTTCTGCTTACCTTTAGCATTGATTTTTGTGCCCTTATTAAGTCCCTGATATATTATGTTAATGACTTGCACAGGCTGATTTATTTATTTATTTTCCCGAAGACATCTCACTTCACCTTTAACCGGAATATGCCTGCATGGTAAAATTCCTTTTGAACTCAATTGTGAATATTCAGCCTTTTTTTTTTTGTTCTTTCTTTAGAAAATTCCCAGCGCGCTTTGGGCCAATCTGATCCAGGACCGTCTGTCAAACGTGGACTGCATCAAACAAGTAAGAATTGCTCCTCAGAGGGCCGGTGGATAAGCACTTACACAACTCGTGCATAGTAGTTAGCATTCTGAGTCCCGAGCAGAGGAGGGAATGGGGGCAAATCATTGGGGGCTCTGGAGCGGATTGCTTTCTTGAACATCAGCAGAGGGAGTTTGGAGCTTTATTAACAGGATAAAGGGGAGGATGAGAGTATGCATATGCTAATCTTCTAGCACAGAGATGATCAAAGGCTGAACAAGCATAGCTTTGTTGATTGCCTGGGGCAACTGGCAGAGATAGAGTGGACAAAACAGATAAACAGAAAATATATAAAAATCAGTGTGTTAAGATTTTAACTCTGATTGAGGAAAGGGGGCAAAAGAGTCTAACATTACTTATTTCGATTTTCTTTATTTCTCGTTGTGTCTTTTTTTAATCTTCCTGTGTTAGGAAAAACTGCATTTGAATATATTCTAGGTAATAATTAATATGTTCACTGTTAATTTACACAAACGGGCAACTGAATAGGTTTAGCTGTAGTCACAGATGTGTGGCTTTTTTTTTTTCCCCTGTGTGCTTAGCCTTAATGTAAGTAGAGATTTTGAACATAGAACCAAAAGAGAACGTAAGTAGATTAATATTGACTGGAATTAATGTCTAGACTCAAGGAAAGCAAAATCTCTTTTATGTATTTCCTTTAAAATCTCAGATGTTGTTGTGCTTTATTGAGTTTGCAATGATCTGCAGACTGGATCCTTCCATCCATGTAAAGCAAAATTACTTTGGGGGCTGGGCCATTGCCTTGTAGTTTTTAAGATGGTGATTCTGTACCACAGAGGTGTCTATAGGTGCAGAGAAACATCAACAAATCTAGCAAGAAGAACTGAAAAAATATTCTGCCCCTAGCTGAAGGTTTCAGCTTTTAGAACTCAGATAATGTGAGTGATTGAAAGTCTTCGTGTGCTTCGGTGCGAAGCCAACGAGCTTAGCTTGAGCCACTGGTGAAAGTGGCTTTCCCTGGCCCTGCCTGGTGTAAGCTAGATCAGATGGTCGAGTACAGTGGAGGAACTGTGGGAGGGATAATTTGATCAGGATGGCAATGAATAGCTGGAGCTGTAATCTCTTAAATTGTTCCTGCCTGAGAGGTTTGCTAGAGGACGTCTGTCTGAGTTGTGTTTCTGTTGTGAGCGTATAACTCTAGCAAAACAGGCAGTATGCTGGTGGCTTTGAGCAGTAGCTTAGAACTACAATAACTAGACTTCAACCTGTCCCATTACCCAATCCACGGGCTGTGTGAGAATTTAATTTAGAATACTACCTGCTGGTGTTTAATGTTACCAAGAAAAGTCATTAAGCTAAAGCAAACCTTTCCTTGCCCAGCTCATCGTTCTTTTGCCAGATGGTAGAAGAGAGCACGGCAGTGCCCTTAGTTGCATCTTGCTATAAAAGTCCTTCCTTTTCCATCAGTAGAGAAAGCTCTGAAGGAGTAAAAATAAGTTACTGTGGGTGATCTTTGAACATTTCATTGCAATTTTGTCTAAATCCAGGTTTAACAAGAGACCTACTGTAACAAAAATTTGGGGTGCATTGTTGGCTCCCATACGTATTTACAAACGACAGTAGAGGGCTCCTCCTCCCCCGGTGAGATGTGAGCGATCGTTTTCATGAAGGGAAATCTGTGAAATTCCTGGTATCACCAGCAACACTGAATCAGTGCTGGATGTGTTACAGAACTAGGGTGGAAAACAACCCTTTGTAAAGCTTCCTCCACATTCAGCAAGAATGGAGTGGCTGTTACTGGTCTAGTTAAAGTTTCAGCAGTTTTTAGGAAAAACACGTAATTGACTTTTCCAAGTTGTGATGATTATTAAAAATCTTTTGATTAGTAGATAATTCATAGTCATTAAAACTTCAGGTTTGTGTGTGTCTTTTCCATTTGAAAGGGGATCTATGCGTTCTAATGGCAATATTTTCATTGTGCGAGTGGAAATAGAATTAATACTGTGGATTTTGGACTTCATTGAACAGATTTATGGCATTTCTCTCAAAGCATGAGTCAGCATTTTTTTTCTGTTAATAGATTAGGAGCAGTATGTTGGACCATAGTACCACCAGCTGTTTGTTTTATTTCTCCTTGCGGTGTCATTGGCTTGGCATTAATTGTGCAGCTTTCATCCCACTGACAGTAGGAATACAGAATTTCCTGTGCCATTGTTTTGACACTCACAGGTTTATAGATGTCACTGGTGTTCTCTAAGGAGAACATTTTTATTGATCAACAGCTCTGCTGAGACTCTGTGTTGTGTGTTCTTCTAATACAAATGCGGTTAGGGCTGCGAGGGATCCGACGGGCAGGTCTCCCCGCATACACAGAAAACTTATTGCAAGCGTTATGTTAGAACCTGGGACTTGTGAAGCTGATGTGAAGACTTTTCATCTTACAGGGTTAGTACACGTTGGCTGTGGCACCTCTGACTGCGGCTGGTGTGGAGGGAATTGATGGAACTGGGGGAGGCTGGGGAAGAGGGTGCTACCTGATGAATTTGTGAGGAGCTGAGCAAGCCCACTCATGTCTTAGGACCGCTCAGAAATGAAGCTTAGGCCAGTGATGCCCACGAGTAGTGACAGAGTTATTTTTGACGGGTATTAAACAGTTCAGAAGGGTATCCAGCAAAGGAATGAGATTGACATTTGGGAATGACCTTGAGCATTTCCTTTTCTCCAGATTCCTTAAATCTGGAAAGTGATGGCTTTGCAAGTGCTTCCTTGGTGCTGATTTTCGGCATGGCATGGGTCTCTGAGGAGCACTTCACCTGGCATTGAGGCACCAGCAGAACACCGTGTTTACAGCAGGGTCCGTGTGGGAAAGGATTGAGGTTTCCAGCTGAAAGAGAGGGAACAGTGACCACAGAGTGGAATCACTTACTTGTAGCCTTTGTTCCACCCTTGGTGTGATACGGTGCGATCCATACAGGGATGTAAGGTTGCTGCTATCAAGAACAAAAAAAATAGATGGCTTCTTAAAGAAACAAATTTACCATGTGAAGTTCCTAATTACACTTTAATGATAGTCAGGAGGGCAAAAAAAGACCAGTGTTTGCATAAAGCATGATAGGCATATTTTAAGTCAGGTCTTGCTCTGCTGTGTCTTGCTTCCTCTTGCTTCATTCCCAAGCCACACTCCCTTTTTTTTTTTTTAAATTTTTTTCCTTTTTTTTTTTTTTTTCTTATCTGTGACATCTGCTTGGAGCTTGTCCCTCCTGTGATACCATACTACTTGCAGCTGTTCAGACCTCCAGCTCTGAGCTGTGCATGGGGTGCCCTGAGCATACGGCCTTTTTGATGTGTGATAAAACAGAACCAAGCCACTGGGGGTATGGAGAGGGAAAGCAGCGGAATATCAATAAACCTGTTCTGAACAAAGCTGCAGCTCTGCGGTGGAATAGACATTTCACTGAAGTGTCAAGTAGATGGATAATGTATTCTAATTAGGGACTGACTGATACCCCGGAACTCGGAGACCTTTGGAAATGAGATCCAAAATGCTGGTTTCGTACTCTGCGTTTATTTTGTGTTTGTTCAGTGGCTTAAAACGTGTTTGTTGCAGGAAGCTATTTATTGAGCTATGATTTCTAACACTGCAAACACTTCTAGCTATAAAGTTGCTTATTGCCTGTTTTAAGGACCTTTGAAATTTCTATATAAACCTCTTGAAGTTTGCTATACATTGGTAAAATCCAGCATTGGCTTCACTGCCTGTTGCTCAGGATGTGATTTTGAGCAATAAGCTGTAGCGACATCAGAAGCAATGGGTTTGTGGGGTGGGGCTTTTTTTTTTTTTTTTTTGTTTTAGTTCCCAAAAGTGTTGCACTTGGAGTGGAGAAAATGAGCCAGATTTGTAGTCTGTGTAAATTGACACAGATTTATTGGCTTCAGACCTCTCACGCCATTTCTCCCTGGAAGAGGATCTGGACCTATATATATATATGTTGTACAGGTGCAATATGTTCAGAACTGGTGCTGAAGTTCCTAGCATACCGCTAAAAATATTGTGCAGCCTTGCCTCCTGTGAGTCCCAACGGATAAATTGATTTCTCAGCACCTGGGTGACCTTAGGCAGCGCTTCGTTCTAATTTGATAGAGCAAACATTGGGAGTGGCAAAAATGGCTTGTCGTTACTCGAGTCTCTGATTTTCTACAGATACCAGCAGGGTGACATGTTCCTGGAACCAGGCTAATTAAGGAATTTTAAATAGTCTACTCTATTTTCTTCTCTAATTGGAATGTCCCACTTTCCTTCTACACAAGTCATGGGGATGTGTTTCCCTGAAATACTTCTAAAACCTTTGGACCTGATAGTGACAGAGCTTCAGATTTACATGGGAGATGACGATGATTGCTGGCTAATGCAATATTAAAATAGCTTCTTTATTTCAAAGATGGTTTATTGTAGTATCACAAAGATATTTTGAGGTATAGGATCTAGTGCCAAGGATGTGTGTGGTTAAGCAACTAACGGATAAATGAGAGAAAGTTCTAAAGATTCCGAGTTGAGACTGGGAAGTGGATGAGATTTCAAATACTACATCACACAGAAACTAAGTGAGGCTGCAGCTCTCCTATGGAATTTCACAGATCTGTAAATGTTTTTTTAAAGATGCTCAATCCAACACTTAGCTGGCTATAACAAGGACTTAAGGGAGCAAAAGGCTCTTTTTTTCTTTTATTCTTTCTTCTGCTCTGTTGCTTCATTAGCTTTGGGAACGCTGGATCCATTACTGTGAGTTTTCCTGTATAATTGAAGAAAATAATGAAAGTGTGCATATTTTCCTCAGTGTTCTTGGCATTAAGTCTGTCTTTAGATTTGTTTAGCCTCTTTTTTATACACAGTGTGGGCTGGTATCCTTTTGAATATTTCAAAACTGTAGAAATTGTTTTGAGTTGTTTTTATTCAAGATAGAAGTTTTTGGGGTTTTTTTAAGATTGAAACATGAAAAATAATTCATTGCTACAATGCATAAGTTCCCATTGCTCTGTGACGGTGTATTAGTGCCATTATTATGCCTTTTCAGAAAAAATATCGGTGCTCCATGTTTGCTTTCTTGTCTCACGAGCATCCATAAAGCATACTGTGCTTTTGTTGGATCAGAACGAGGTAATTTTTGTGCATATAGCACTGATATTTAGTGCTAATTTTTGGGTTTTCTCTTCCAAGATCAATAACTGTTTCATGTTTTTGTTCAATAGGGGTGGATTTTGGAAGGCTTCCCTGAAAATCAGGAACAGGCATGGATGCTGCAGTCAGCTGGCATCATTCCTAGGCATGTTGGTAAGCAGCACGAGGTTTATGTAGGATTGCATCCAGTAGGAAAGCCTAGCCGTGTTTCTCCCCAAAAATCCTCCATAAATTCAATACCAATGCTGAAGGCACCAGAGTCAGCAGACAGCAGAAAATGTCAGTAAGGTTCAGATTCACTCAAAAACTTGTGAGACCTAAACCCTGTCTTTCACACATGAACCCTTCTCTCCTTACACACAGAGTTCTGTAAATCCAGCACCACTCCAGTCTCTCTGAGCAGCTGTATGTCGCTTTGCTTCTGTTTTAGGAGCGGCTCTCAGTTTTCTCTGACTTCCATCTCTAGGAATCAGCCTTCATCCTCAGCCCAAAACAATTCCTCATGTACTAAATACGAATTCATCTTTCTGTTGAATTAGGGAATGCAAACTTGGCAACCTTTACTCCACCAAGTGAAGTAGAAACATCATTATTTTAAGCTTGACCTTTCAGAGGATGGGTGGATTCTGACATGATTTGAGAGGCACATTTATTTACTGGCAATTGCTGATAGACAAGACCTTCACAGCTGCCCTTGCCACCTAGAAGCAGCCGGTTGTCCCAAATTAATATAGTTAGAGGACCTGCTTAAAATGTAAGAAATTATTACGATTGTGTGGGATACAGCGTGAAATGATAAATTTAGAGCTTGCCAGTGGATAGTGAACAGAATGTTAGCGAACTTGATAAATTGTCACTTTGGATTTGATTTGGATGAGATTTGGCTGTTAATAAAGAATTCAGAATCACTGCAATAGAGTTAGGCAAAAATGTTTAATGTCTAGTACTTGCATGTATTTTTAATATAGCTAATAACATCTGAAGTTGAGTTTTGCTCACAATTATATCTTTGCAACCAAGACGTGAATGAAAACCTTAAAGCTCAGTCTGTCTAGTTAATCAAACAGAAGATTGAGAGGAGATGAGATTTACGGTGTATGAGCACCTTAATAGGGAGAAAAGCATCTGAAAGAGCTATTTGATACAGAGAAGAAAGTCATAAGAAGAACTTGTTTGAAACCTGTAATGAAATGCACTGAAAACAGTAATTAAATTACAGTGGTTAACTGCGAGGATGATTAGCCAAACGCAACCTGGGGAACTGACAGATTCTCCATCTTTTGATGCTTTCTAATCAAGTTTGAACACTCTTCTGTGAGTTATAAAAAAATAAATTTCACCGGTCTGGCTACCAAAGTACCTGAGCAAAAAGTCATTGTCTGTGGTACAGAAGAGAATCAGCCTCGAGCGACCTGTGGGTGCTTCCGTCCTGGGCTCACAATGTCGGTGAGGGACAGCCAGGTTCATTGGAATGGATGACAGGGACAGCGAGTACTCACAGGTATGGGACTGGGTTACAGGAAATAAAACAAATAACTAACAAGAGTTATGCTTTTTTCCTTTTTTTTTTTTTTTTTTTTTTTTTTTTTTTTTGTGACTAGTTGTGCTTTATGCTCCAGACACTGTGCTGATTGAGAGGAACAGTGGGAAAAGGCTTGATCCCATCACAGGAGGTGCAGTACCTGTTTCTTCCTGATCTCCACTAGAAACTAGAGTGTTGCTTGGTCTCAGAAACATTGTGATACCAGTGGGATTAAAATTTAAATGGTATCCCTTTAAGAACTAGTAGGAATTTATAATTATAAATTTAAAATGTTTGGAAAAGGTATTCATTGACATTGCATTATTTTCTGTGCCAATGAAAAATAAAATGTAAAGCTCAGTATTGAGCCTGCAAACAGTAGACTATGGCAGTACAGAATATTTGAAGGTTAGGTATGTCTATATGAGCTTACCTTTTGCTATGCATCTTTGCTAGATCACCTTTTTTTTTCTGAGGTGCAGGTCTGTTTTCAGGTATCTTCCATTAAATGACTGCCAAATAGACTTCTCTGTATTGTCCATTGAGTATCATTATCAATCATTCATCGTGGAATAAAATCCTGATATTGCTCACTAAAAAAATCACATTTGGTGTTTTAGGAGTGGAATTAGGAGGGATGTTCTTGACTAAAGAAATGGCTTTTATTTGCTAGAAAGGAAATTTGCTTATCAAAGGTCTTGCTTAATGTTCAGTGTAAGAATCTGGAGAGCTATCCCCAGTTCCTGGTTCTTACTTGTCACCCTCTCTTGCCTATGTGGGTGGGCAGTTACCTTGGCCCCTTCCTATCTGTGCATCTGCACACTCATAGTCAGCCGTGAGTACAGGTGGCAAGGGAAGTGCACAGGTTATTGCTTGTGCCACAAGCTTAAACAAAGACCTTGAGTTTGTTTAGGAAACCTTTTGGAGTTTCCTAAATCATCCTCTTAATTCCTAACCAGTGTCTAACTTCCAGAGGTGTACCACACGACCTTTGACTGGCCAAGTGATCTGCTGGTCCAGCAACGTTTGGTGAAACCAGAAGATTTATCCGAACAGGAGATGTCCAAGAAACTGCTGGAATATCACCGAAACTTCCCTGGGGTTTTCCAGATCTACCAAAAAGTTTTGAAATCGATCAATGCAGACCAGCCTTCCATGGATGTCCTCTCCCAGGGTAAATATGTACCTTGATGGCAGATCTGATGGCTGATAAACTCTTATTTGACAAGTAGTTCCTAGCTGTTGGAGACAGTTTGTAGGATTAGGCTTAGTCGACACAGATGGCTCCCAGCTGAGTTGTGTTCTCTCTAGTGCAACGTTTGGGCTGTTCCTGGTCATTATTTTGCAGGACTAGAGTAAGTGCAGATAACTGGAAAGTCTTAGTTCCACAGTCCTGCCAAGGAGCGCCTGACTCCGTAGAGCGAATGTCATGGTTATCGCTGCGAGAGTCTCTTCTAAAGGGCTGCATTGTGGCTCAGTTGTCTCCCAAAGGGCTAGGACCTTCCACGAGGCTGATAACAAGAGGTAGGAGCAGTTCAAAGCTGGTAACATTTCATTATTTAAAAGCTGTTTGGTGCTGGTAGCTCTTCTGTTCAGCAATTCTTGTTTGCCTTTGCTTGACCGTAATGCAATCTGACTTTTAATGTGGATTCTTCAAGAAGAGAATAAAGAAACTGCCAGAAAGACCAACGGATAATGTACTTTGTAGCTGTCAGTCTGTAGATGATCTGTTATATCCTAGTAGTTTTGCATCTCAAAAAGGTCTTTTTTTAATAACAAGTGCTGCACTTTTAAGATAAACAAGTAGGAAGTTTATATGCTGAATTTACACATTAATTACCTCTAAATTACTTAATTAAATTTAAAAGTTCATATCATCATTCATAAAGAATTCATGCCTTGAATTGTAAATAAAAATGTGAGTGCCTGAATATTAATTATTATTAATTAATAATGTAGTGAGATAAATTGAAAACTGGAATGAAAAAATCCTCTCTAGATCTTTTTTTCTGCTGTGCATCAAGCAGCCAGATTTTTTTTTTAGAGAATAATTAGATGTGGAGACTGTCTAGGGGATCATTACTCCTAATTAACTTGGTTATTTACTGCAAATTAAGCATCATTTGTAAGCAGGGTGCTTTGCCTGTAATGTTTGTGCTTTTCAATACACTGGGTTATGGAAAATGTTCAGAATAACTAGAGCACTCCTTGGGTAGCTGGTAGTTGGTTTTTAGGAGGTTATGCAGCAAACACACCATTTTCTGTTATGATTTTCCAGGTTTTTTGTCAAGTATATTTATGCTACAGATAGAGTTAAAAAAGGAAGATGAGCTCTCTCATCAATATCGGTATTATTATGGATTGTTTCATACACTTACAAAATGTTGTAAACTCTTAAACTTTAATGCAATGACTGCTAACGTGTGCTGGGATATGTGACATCAAATTCAGCTGTACAGTGTGGGATCCCAGTACAGCTCGTGGCACTGGATGTACGCGATCCCATGGGGTTGCAGTTTGAGTTAGTTTCTCAGTACTGTAGGTCCACTGTGTAGAAATAGCAGGGCTGGAGTTTGCTGGAGATGCTTCTTTATGATGAAAAGATTTTATAATGATACCCAAGTGTCTAGCAGAGAGTCCTCAGAAAAACCATTAGTTAGTGTACAGCAATGTGTTCACAATGGTCGTTATAATACTGATCCTTATTACGTTCTCCATCAATCCTTTTGTGGTTTGTGTTTTTTAACGTGGGCTTATGATTCATACAACTGTTAATCTCTAAACCTGTTCTGTTTGTTCAACTAAAATACCATCTTATTACGTGGACTCTTTAGTCTAGAGAGACTTTTATTTGAACTGAAGATGTCTGGGCTAACACTTAATTGTGTCCGTGGCAATTACAGAGGAAATCAAAGCCTGGGTAGAAGTGCCCGTGCTGCTTTAATATGGTGGCGTGAACTTCAGCCTGGGCATCTGAATCTGCGATCCCTGGCAGCCTGCGCAGCTGGAGCTGGTGCTGGAGCTGCTCTCCTCACCGGTGTTCTGAGCCCCGAACGGGGCACGGGAGTACGAGCACCTGGCTGTGTCCAAATCCCATCCGAATTTGTAGTCGCTGCCAAGCCGTGTCGTCTTCTAGCTTCTTGGTGATCTATGAGGTTCTCTTTTGAGATTGTAACAAAGTTCAGATCTTTATCATACAGCAATGTTGGCGATGCTTCGTATGTCCCATGGTCTTTCCAAAGCTCTTATCATCTGGAGTTGACCTGACTGTAGTATTTCCTACACAATAGAAATTGTAGAAGAATGATGTCCAGCAAACAGAGTGAAATCGGACAGAGAAGCACTAATATTCTTTATATGTTCTACAAAAATGCTGGAGAAAAGAATAAAATCATATTCAGTTATGTGTTGTCAATGCCATATTGCGTCATGATATCCCATGCTGCAGGTCTGTAATGTCATTAGGAGTCTGTTTTTCACACACAGCTGGATAAACGTTATATTAATTTAATATCCTGAGTTTTTAAACTTAAATATTTGTTCAGAAATGGCAGAAAGTATTAAGTGTAATTACATCCCTCTGTGATTTGCATGATGAAGTTGTACTTACCGAGCAAAAATTACTTCTGCTAAAGACAACATGGTGAAAGAGCACTTAGTAATTGAATCTGCTCTTTAAAATCGTTTGACATCTACTGATGAAAGAAAGCATAGGAGTGTCGTGATAGTAAGATTTCTAAAGGGCCTCTCAATGTAAGTTGCTGACATGACAGTTTTATCAGAGTCCTGATTTTGGCTGGAGTATCTAGACGTTTCAGTGATAAAATAAATGATGATCAACATGACAACTGTTTTTTAAAAAGAGAGAAGTCAACCAACATTTATATTTTTTTAAAAAAACCCAAACAAATAGCATCTAAACTGTATTTCTTGCCTGTCTCTCATGTTCTAGTTCTTACCTATGTCCAAACACGGCACCGATCAGCAGCCCCCTTTACACCACGGATCCTCTTTTGTGGACCCCCAGGCAGTGGGAAGAGCCTGCAGGCAGCAGTAATAGCTCAGAAATACGGCATTGTCAACAGTAAGTTCTCAGTAAATATGCACTTTGCTCAATTCCCCCTTTCTCTCTTTTTGATCATTTATCTTTTGCTGCCTGTCTTTCTTACTTGCTCATAAAATTTCTTTGTTTGTCCATTGCTATGGATGTCAAATTTTTGAGGGAAGTGAAAAGTATTTCAGTGAAGAAATATAAACCCATAGAGCATCCGTTCTGTGACAAACCAGCTCTAACTTTTTTTTTTTTTGTCATCATTTTTTTATACCCTTTCCATCAGTATTTTTCCATGTGTTAGATTCCTATAGTGCTCTGAATTCTTCTGTGGATCAGTGGATCGTGAGTAATGTCTTTGCAGCTGTCTGACCAAAATTGGGGCACTTTTAACATAGAATTTACTCTGAACTTTAATGATGACTCCGATTCTGTACATCTGAATGCATTAGAAAAGGAAGCCATTATTTAAATTAAATTATTTAAAAGTGCATTCTCTGTCTTTTGTAAAGGAAGCCCAAAAAATTCTATCTGAGGCTTGTTCATGGTTAACATGCTCATGTTAATAAGTCCTATAATGTGAATACACAGCCTAGTCATGGGATCGATGCAATATGTGTCCGTGTCTGATATCTCTTTGTTAAGTAAGATGCAAGTTGTTCATTAGTGTTCTTCCAATGTGTACCGAATGAAAAAACTCAGAATTAAGTAGGTAATGTTTTTTTTTATGTTCAGGAGATTCTTTAACTAGCGGAACTCCCCGAGTTGTCCGTAGCTGTGCCAGTTTCCCAGTGTCTTCCCTGAAGTCCTGGGGAAGTCAAAAGATTTCACTGAGCCTGGATTTCGCTTTACATGTGCGTGATCAAGATCTGAGCTGTGCTGGTTTCAGTTCCAGGTTTAGTAGATCTGTTCAGAGAAGAAATAATTTTTTTCAAGTCAGTGCAGCTGCAGACATTGGTGCTATCGATTTCAGAAAGGGCGGAATCAACATTATGATTATTAATTGGAAGATCACGCAATAACGTACAGGGTGACTGGTATCTAGTATTTACCAAAACAGAGTTGAAACTGGGACTTGTTGTGTTGTTGTGTAACCTCCCCATGCCTTAGCTCCCTCCCTGTAGAATAAGGGTCAGGACGGTCGCATCTAACCCGCGTGGGGCAGTAACACCCGATGACTTTGGTCAGAAAGTGCTATCCCAGCCCAAAAGCAGCATTTCATACACAGCTGTCCGGACACAATCTGCATCTCCTGGTGTTCTGTGTACTTGAAGTCAATGATAATATTGGACTAGCAGAGTTATTTAAAATATAATTCTTACATGATCATTAAATGATCCAGGGAGTCGCTTCCTTGAACTGCGGATTATCCTGCACCTCCAGCAGAGCG